GAGCCCCATATTGAGCTCCTTGCCCAGTGGGAAGCCTGCTTCTTCTTCTCTCACTCCCCTTGCTTGTGTTCCCTTGCTGTCTCTCTCTGTCAAATAAATAAATAATATCTCTTAAAAAAATAAAAATAAACTCTAAAATCACATTATCTCCTTTAACTTAAAAATACTTAAACATCTTTATTTTGTTATTTGTGACTATAGTATTGAATAACAGAACAAACCGATCAATTAATTAAAATTTTATTTCAGGGGTGCTTGGCTGGCTCAGTGGGTTAGGCCTCTGCCTACAGCTCAGGTCATGATCTCAGGGTCCTGGGATCAAGTCCCACATTGGGCTGCCTGCTCAGAGGGGAGCGTGCTTCCTCCCCCCACTCTGCTGCTCTGCCAACTTGTAATCTCTCTTTCTCTGTCAAATAAATACTTTAAAAAAAAATCTTATTTCACATCCCTTTTCATTGCTAATAATTTGTTGTTACAAAATATTGTCTTTACTAGTTTGTCATTAGATTAATGTGTATAAATTCCTATAGATACGAAAAGAAGAATGTAAAATTCGGGCATATCGAGAAAACAGTCTAAAAAATATTTCTTGGTGTTGAGATTGTAATAACAAGAATTCATCCCTCTCACACTAACAAATTCTCATTTTCATAGAAATTAACCCATTTATGAGAATGTTTTCCTGTTACCAAACAGTAAAAGAAATACCAAATAATAAAGAGTAAAATTTTGATAGCAAATATACTATGAATATTATACAATGATTAATATTTATAGTAGCTTTATATATTATAGCTACAAATAATCATAATACAACTCATTGATATAGAAATTGTAATTTAGAGTATACATAAATTTACTGAAGACTTAAGTTTAATTAATGAGTTAAAATATAGTATTCTGCATTATTTAGAAACATCTTAAATAGTGAAAATAAATTACGAGGGAATTTCTTTATATTCTTTGAGTAAGGAAGTTTTTTTCATTTAACAATTGAAATTCAAAGACTAATTGTTTTAATCCTAAATTTCAACCTAATTTTAGTGAAGCAGAATAAAAGTTAATTATGATGAGATTTTGTTTGTACATAGACCACCATGTTAATGGAAAATTTCATCTATGATATGTATATACCAAAATTGTTGCATTTATTGATTTGCTATATCAATGAATATAAACTACTATATTTACTATAGTAATATATACATTCATATGTGATAAAATATAATGTATAATAAAATGTTGCATTTATTGATTTACTATATCAATGAATATAAATTACTATATTTGCTATAGCAGTAGTATATAAATTCATATGTGATAAACATATAATACTTTAGAGTATAATGTTGGAGAAAAGATTGCTAAAGTTTACCATTTTTTCTGTATTTTAGTTCTAACAAATGTATACTTTTTTGGATATTCAGTTATATTCCTCTGTGGATACAAAGCTCTAACTATAATTATAATACACAGTAATTTTTAAATGACATTTTACCCATTAGATATTATATTTGATGTCCATATTATAATATTCTCACTAGGGGAAAGGTGATCATTTAATATAACATCAAGTTGTATTCTTCATAATTTTGTGCTGTTTTGAAATTTAAGAGGCCCAGAAGTTTCAAACTCAGACCTACTCTTTTAAGATACATTTTTTCAATTCCTGAAATGGAATGCTGGTAGACTTTACACTCATTAAATGCAGCTTATCAGATGTCGACCAGTTCAGGAATATAAATGATGACGTTGCTGTGCAGTTTATAACCTCTGGTACATCACTTAAATATGTAGGACAGTTAGCTCACAGATTGGTATATGAAGTCATGCTATATCATCATACTTTTCATTTGTTTTCTTAATTTTTTCTTTAAATGAGAATTATGAATGAAATATGGGACTACATAGGGTAAAAATTAATGTTTTACTCTGATTAGAATAATTTTCATTTCCAGAAAAAAAAAATGGAAAACTTCTAGGAGTATGGAAAAACTTATTAAAGCAAAATACAGACTCTAAAAACCACAGTTGAAAACATTAAAATTCAAAATGTAAAATTAGAATACATGCTCCCAAATACCCTTGAGTAATAATGCAACATTTGCAAAACATAACAAACATGGGGTTAAGTTCCTTAGCATATAAAGCAACAACCAACCTTAGCATAAAAACCAACAACCTAGTAGAAAAATGGGCAAATAACTTCCATTGCCAGCTCCCCAAAAGCCCTCCAAAACCCCCAAACATTTAAACATAGACATAGATGCTCAATTTCACCCATAAAAATTTCAGATTAAAATCTATAGTAAAATACCAGTTTTTATCTAACAGATTTGACAGTTCAATGTAATATATAATAATATCTATAATAGAAGCAAACAATCTTAGATTTTATTGATAAAGCCTAGGAATAAATTATATTGATAAAATAGATTTTATGCAGCTGTTAGAATAGTGTGCATTTCTGTGTAATAATATGGAAAAATTAAACAGCTATTGTTAAATGAAGAAAGCAAAGGTCAGATAATTTGTGTACTCCCAATTCGTGTAAAGAGAGACCATCTACACACACACACACACACACACACACACACACACACACATACTCACATACTGTTCTGAATTAGAAAATGAGGATAAGGGGCATCTGGGTGGCTCAGTGGGTTAAAGCCTCTGCCTTCGGCTCAGGTCATGATCCCAGGGTCCTGGGATCAAGCCCCGCACTGGGCTCTCTGCTCAGCAGGGAGCCTGCTTCCTTCTCTCTCTCTCTTTCTGCCTGCCTCTCTGCCTACTTGTGATTTCTGTCTGTCAAATAAATAAATGAAAAATCTTTAAAAAAAAAAGAAAATGAGGATAAAAGTTGCTTTTGAGATCAGAATTTAGGGATGAACTTCGAGTAGAAAAGGAGTTAATTTGGGGTGTCTGGGTGGCTTAGTCATTAAGCAACTGCCTTCCACTCAGGTCATTACCCCAGTTTCCTGGGATGGAGCCCCTCATCCAGCCTCTCATCGGGCTCCCACTCGGCGGGAAGCCTGCTTCTCCCTCTCCCTCTCCCCCTGCTTGTGTCCTCCCTCTCACTGATCTCTCTCTCTCTCTCTCTGTCAAATAAATAAATAAATAAAATCTTTAAAAAAATTCTAAAGAAAGAAAATTCTTAATTTACTAAAACACCACGGCGAATACTGCCTGAACACCTCCTTAGAGGCCACACATTATTTGAACATGTTGGGGAAATGAAGAGGGATAAAGTATCGTTGTCTCCTCTTCTCAAAAACTGGTAAAGTGGTACTAATTTGTAAGTAGGTTAAAACTCAGTGTAGGAGATTTTCTATTAGAAATGGGGCCAAAAAGGCTATATACTCTTTTGTACATCTCAGAGTAGTGTACATACATACTATAATTGATCTTTACAAAACTTTATGGAAAAAATAGAGCGCTGTCTGCCACCAAAAAAACAAGAGTTAAGCCCATTTTCTGTATTTGCTCAGTTAATGCTTACATCAGCCTGAGAAGTGGGTACCATTATCATCCTCATTTTATAAAGTACACGGAGGATTTAAGTATCTTATAAAATGTGACACTGCTTCCAGGGAGTGCCAGAGCTGGTATTCAAATCCAGGCAGTTTGGTTATAGGGTCCTCAATCCTAATAGCTGAACTATTCTACTTCATTTTGTGATTTGAACTTATGTCTGCTTTGCAAACAAAAGACAAAAAAGGTTCAAGGCATTAAATAATTAGTTCAATTTATACTGCTAATAAATGTCACAGCCATGGTCTTTGGAGTAAATGCAGTCATCTCATTTTGTACCCAGACTGCCTCTTAGGGGAGTTCTAAGGGAGGGGAGCAGGGGAAGAGCCATTTGGATAGCACTACCTGTTTAAAGTCCTACAAATCAACAGAATGCGTGGTTTCTCTAAGAAAATTGCAGCAAAAAAACTTACTTCCTTTTTGTGAATGTATTTCATTCAAGTAGTACCAAATAATTTGTTTTGCACAGGAACTTTGATATGATTTCTGAAGAATTTCAACATCAGGGGATAAAAAACTGGTATTCATTTAAAGCCTGTTTCTGCTTTGTGAAAAGACTTTGTCAGCAATCCAGAATGAGGGCTGTGCTAACAAAATTCCAACATTTCTGTGGGATGATCCAAAAACAGCAAACAGAAGGCATTAAATTTCTTAACAGTCAGAAGTGCGTGCATGCCTGCTATGCCATTCCTGTCATTCATTGCTTTTTGGTGTGCATAGATTAAAGCTGGAATACTTTGATTTGCAGACTAATATGTTCCATAGAGAATTTTCTTCATATAAAAAAAAGAGTAGCTTAAGAGCATGTGAAGTCTGTGCACTCTGCCCTACATTTACATAGCTCTTCACGGAGTATATGTTTTTAAGCTGATTTTAGGGTATTTGCCTTGACGGTATGCCTTCATACATCTAAGACATTTGCTAGATTGAGATCCCAAGTTGTTTCTCTTGCTCAGCCCTGAAGCAGGTTTACACAAGTATTCTGATGTAAGACAGAAGTGTTATATATGTATATGTTGTATGCGTATGTTGTGTATATATATATAGGTATATATATTATGTATATATTGTATGTGTATTTTTATAGTATACATATGAGTGTTAAGGAGAAGCCTGGCTCAGTGGGTTAGGCAATATCTAATCTTGTCTCCTACACAATGCCGAGTGTCGGTAGCGACAAAATCAAAAGCCCATACCAGAATTAAGGACTTGTTTTAAAAGCAGATAACTAAGTTAAAGAAAGAAATGAGTGTACAAATAAAGTGTCATTCTGTTTACGAGAGCTTTTCTGAGCCATCTTCACTTCGATGCCAAAGTCACTCAAGTAGTTCTGAGCACAGTCTGTAATAATGTCGCGTTGGTGATTTCCATCCGTGCTCGTAGAATGGCCCTGGGTGGAGAAGAGATGTAGGGGACACCACGACCTGCATTTAAAATTCCTTTATTTCTTCTTTTTTAAATTACAGCAAATTCAGTAAAGCTAGAAATGCAGAGTGATGAAGAGTGTGACAGGAAACCCCTGAACCGTGAAGATGAGATCAGGGGCCATGATGAAGGTAGCGGCCTAGAAGAACCCCTCATTGAGAGCAGCGAGGTGGCCGACAACAGGAAAGTCCAGGAGCTTCAAGGCGAGGGAGGAATCCGGCTTCCGAATGGTAAACTGAAATGTGACGTCTGTGGCATGGTTTGCATTGGGCCCAATGTGCTTATGGTACATAAAAGGAGTCACACTGGTAAGCAGCTGAAAGAATAACCTGATGACTGCCTGTGACATCTGATGTTGATATTACCTGACACCTATTCTCTTTCCTTTTTATTCAGGGGTGGCAGTGGTGAAACCACCTTTTCAGAATGCTGCTAGTATTGGATTGCTGAAAAGCAGAGAGTAGCCTGGGTCTTGACTTCCAGCCTTCAAATCTGAATAGCATATCAGAAAAGAAGTTTGGGATTCAGTTTCCACAGTTCTTAATATAGCAATAATAGGATAAGGGTTCAAAAGGTATAGGAGAATCTCATTGTGTAACTTCATCTTTGTGTATTTCTATACATATTTTGCCATACCCATGGGCAGGTAATCTAGTTTGCTAGCTACGGGTTTATGCTATTAAATGGTACTCCTGCATTTATATAGAGGTGGATCATTTTCACCTTATCTGGTTAACTTCTTGGAATACAATTTCCAATCAATCTCTGCCCATCATGGGTCTCTGCATTGGGCAGATACTTCCCCTAGTTTGAGGATGTTACCATCTTCCTGTAATTTTTTCTATTATAACTCCTGCAAGAGATATGGAGGGTGCAGTATAGCCAAGGGTGGTGGGTATGCTGGTAGGAATGTGTGATCAGGGAATAGGGTGAGGAAAGAGGCCTCCGATTAATGTAAGATATACTTTTAGACATTTGAGTAACATAAAAAAAACAGCTAAATGAGAGGAAGGCCTTATTTAAATCCCTCCAAATCCTTTGGCAAAATGAAACAAAAAAGTCTTTTAAATTAAAAAAAAACAACAACAGTAATGAGATTATGTGTAAGAAAGGCAGATGGTTGACTATTAGAAAAGTTTTAAGTTCATATGAAAATTGATTTAAAGATGGTACCTTTACCTATAATGCAAAGTAGTGTTAGATAGCAAAATATTAATCACTAATACTCCCAGAGTTTTAAAATATGATTCTCTTTGGAAGAGAGATAAATCAATTTAATTAGTGAGTGCTTAAAACATGAGAGATACGAGGTACACTGAAGTCTTTTTAACCCAAATCTCTCGTTTACACATTTACAGTCAAGTGATTTGTCCATTATCCCTTATGTAGTTAGGACATTATGAGGCTAAAATCAAGGTTTCCTGATGCCCAGACTTGTTTTGTTGAAATGTACTATTCTTGGTATCCTAATGCACCAACATTTAATGATGAGATATGATTATAAGGCTTAAAAATTATAGTATGGAGTTACACATTAAAATCAGTGTTATCTTAATCAAAATCATCAGGTTTGGATCCTGTACCCTCATTCTAATTCTACAGCTACATGTTTACTTTCAGTTTTGTTTTTAATTTCCTTTTTAAACAACATATTTTTAAAATATTTGTATTACTGGTGCAGGTGTTTTTTCCCTTAGTTAAAAAAAAAGATTTCTAGAAAAGTTAAAAGATCAAGTTTGGTATTCGATAAGAAAGATATGAAAAGGCTATAAAATAATGAGTCTACTTTTCTTCTATGCTCATGAAGTAATGTTAACTGCAGTTCTAAAAGAAGAGTTCTGCAAAGTTATAATGTATTCATTATCTCACAGTGATTATACTGAGGAAGATAATACCCATTCAAATGTGTAACTTCCCTCCTTTAGCAACATATAAACTAAAGTAGTCAATTTTAGCTGAATTGCATATAGTGTGCATTTTAAGGTTGAAAAGTATACTAGCAACAATTTTTTGTAAGATTTCTAATAAACCTTTTATGGTCTGAGCCAAGAAAATTCAAAGAACCTGAGTGTACTCTCTTGAATATTTAGGTTAATCAATGTTCCACTGTATTTGTAGTGATTTTTATGAGGGTTGTTGGTTTGTAAACAAAAGAGTAATTACATACTGACTCTACTGTTTAATATTTACAACTATAGTAGAGTTGAATTATTTTGATTCTGAAAAATCATCAAATTGACACAGAAAATGTTCCTAAAATAGTTATACAGATTTCCACAAGTCCTATGAATATGGGATTCACTCAACTAGTAACGGAAAGGAGAATGGACAAAATAACTAAAGTCCTATTGCAAATTGATGGACTTTATTGTTAATTAATGTTTATTGGAGTATTGTAAAAATTTTACTTTCCTCAGATCTGGAAAGTTTTTGTTAAAGTTAAAAGCCATTCATGGAGGAGCTCGGGATACCTGCCACACATGTTGACCTTGAAATTGTGATATATCTTGAAAGTAGCGATTTTTTAGGGCACCTGGGTGGCTCAGACGTTAAATGTCTGCCTTCAGCTCAGGTATGATCCCGAGGTCCTGGGATTGCGCCCTTTGTTGGGCTCCCGGCTCAGAGGGAAACCTGCCTCTCCCTCTCCCACTCCCTCTGCTTATGTTCCCTCTCTGGCTGTCTCTGGCTGTCAAGTAAATAAATAAAATATTTAAAACAATTTTTAAAAAATAGCTGTTTTTATATGTATTTCTGATGACCCAGTTTATACATCTGAATAGGTCATGACCTTTTCAACTCCCTTTTAGTACTCTGAGAATACAAAGTCTTTGTGTGTGTGTGTGTGTGTGTGTGTGTGTGTTTAACTTTAGATTGAAAAAATGTGGTTGAGATCTAGTCATTAACGAAATGTTTTCTCATTAATGCTATGAACTACTGTCTTCATTTCAGAATTTCCCCCTTTCACCAATTATTTATAGCTAGTGTAAAAGGCACTGTCTTGAATCCTTATAAAGCCTTTGGGAAACATATTTGTGTGTCATAGAATATCCATTATAAAATGGATAGTAGAAAAAGATACACAACAATCACCCAGTTTACTAAAATGATGTGGAGTATCATATCTAATTCACTTCTTCTTCTTTCCTCTTTCAAACTCTACTAAAGTGCCAATTCCAGTGTCTTATACATGGCTTGGTGTTATTTCTTGGTGTTGCCACTTTAGTAGGTAATCAGGTAATATTGTCATCGGATACTCCAGGCACTCTTCACTGCGACAGGGGCGGAGTAAAAGAAGTAGGGGTAGTAAATGAATTCATGCTTCAGCATGAATTGATGTGGACCATTATAAATATAGACTGTCCTTAACTTTGCCCTCCCTTGGGGTAGAGTACTCCCATCTTTGTAACTCTGTGTACATTGTAGCTTTGTGGAATCATTCTTGTGCTCCAAGGCCCTCACAACAGGTACATGGGATTTTTCATATTTTTAGGTGGTTGTTCCATCCAACACAGAACACCCTGTCGTTGATGCACCAAAGCAAACTGATACATGTATACTTGTATTTCAGTTGAATCTTTAAACACACACCTAGAAATAATGTGTTTATGAAAGTACATAAAATAGTGAAATACAAAATAAGAATAAATAACTTCATTCTGGGAATAACTAAAAAAGGTCCTTGAAGGGATTAGCAGATGTAAAAAAAAAAAAAAAAAGAAAAAGCAGATTAAGAATGGAAATGAATGATAGCATGTCTACATATTAATTGTTCTCCTGGATTCAGAGTTGTTAATCCAGACTTCTGTACCCACCCACGGGGGAACTGGTTATCACAGATACAATAGCCTACTTGATTTTTTCAGTTGGATTAGGGTATAGTGTATTTAGTACCTTTGTGGTGTTTTCCTGAAGTTTGCTTTTCTTTATATCAGAAGAACATGATTAATATATTTTTCAGGCAAAGTCTCAACTGATTTGAAAAGAACTAGTTGAGTAAGCCTGTTTATTAAAGAAAAAGTAAATTATTTAAAAAATAATTGAGATGTGTTGTTTCAAGGCACAGACACAATATATGAACCTTTTACTTAAATATCAGATCATTTTACATGTCTCTCATAATCCCAATTCAAGACTTAATCCATGTAGATCAGTATTTCTCAAAACTTCATCCAGCTGAAATCAAAGTGCATTACTATGATTGCTTCTTTCCTCTTATCAAAAATGGGAACAGGGTTTGTAAAACTTCATCATGCCTTTCTTTATTTCTCAGGGCCATGGGAATATAGTTAGCAAAAGACTCCACACTAAGACACACTCAGCAACAGACAGTATTTCCTAATATACCTAGAACCCCTTTTCATTTCTCTTGCCCCTTTAAGGATGATCATATAAATTCAGATGCAATTCTGTTAAAACATACTTGAAGATATCTGGAATATTTTTTAGTGTAAAAATAAAATTACCCTGGCATTGGTCTCATAAACTCAATTAGGTGAATTTAAAAATTCTTTTTAAAGAGAGTTATCCTTGTTATTTTTTTCTTTTTTGATTAGCATTACTTGGAATGACAAATTCAGTACTCTAAATTAGGAATTTTTAAATATTTCAATTGTAGGAGGCTTAATGAAAATCTTAAGTTAGCATGTTACAGGAGTATTTTCTAAAGGCAAACATGATTTCAAATGTTTTTTGTTCACCAAACTGATTTAATTCATTTTAAAGTTACTGCATACTAACTTATTACTTGCCTGGAAGACCCAGACAGATTTCAAAAGTAAAATCAAGTATTTGGAGGGGAAAGTATAATTTGCATTTGCTATTTTCCTGTGGTATAAAAATTCTCATGAAGAAAATGCATTCTTTTTTATTAGTAATTCCATGGCACGGGTGGGAAGTAGAAATTCCTGGTTTTAAAGAGCTGTAGACTGCTATTTCATTGAAGAAAAAGCCAACAAATTGTTATGTGTGTGTGTGTGTGTGTGCATATGTGTGTAAAGATTTACCAAATTTAGATTTATTTTCAAACTTTGATTACTTTGTGAGACTTCATATAAGAGATTTTTCGGTAAAGTATTTCTCTTTTAAGCTGTATTTAGTGTTGATTTAATTTGTCAATTTCATCAAATGAATCAAACAAATGAAATAAGATAAAATTTAAGGTGACTTTAAAATAATTTTTTTCATGATACACTAGTACAAGGCCTTTTGTAAATGTAATTCAGATCTCCAGATTTTGTTAGAAAAACTTTTACCCTTCCTAAATGAACACATAGATTACAATTTTTTGGTATGTATCTCATAAAGTTCCAAAATGAGAAAATAGTACAGAATTTGAGATACGCCTGATGTATCCATTTTTTAATTTCTTTAGGTTTTATAACAAATCTATATGATAGAATATGCAGTGGCAACTGCAAGAAAATGGCCGATTTATCTTCTTTATGACTCCTAGCTTCCTTTAATAGAAGGAATCATTGAGTTTGCATTAATTAAAGGCCCCCCAAAATAAGGAGGTTTCATTATTCACTGTTTTCAAATGTTTCAGTTAAAGATATAAACCATGAGAATTCAGTATAAATTTTTAAGTATTAAAATTACAATCTTCATCTGACCTCAAGTACAGAAATAGTCCAGTTTTTTTAATTTTTTAAAATTTTTTAAAAATTTAAATTTTTTTTTAAATTTTTTAAAAATTCTATGTCCGTTCTAAACTTTGAACTTTACTATTTTGTACTGTGTATATATTAATTTATAACTTAGTTCATGAATATCTTTAGAGATCAGCAAACTTAAAATAATAGTATTTTCTTCGTGGTTTGACCCTAAATGCTAATTTTACTGCTTCCCCAACTATATGTTTTTATGTTCAGTGACCTTCGTGACAGCCAGTTGATGACAATAGACTAAACTGATAATTCTGGCTTAACAGTTTTATAGCAGTATCCAGTAATGGGAGGAAAGAGGGAAAATGTTTCTCTGAAATTATTTTCACAACAAAAAGAAAACAGGGAATATCTGGATGAATAATTTTCTTTGGACTTTTCCTGTTTATGTCAGGAAATTTTGCCAAAGCTTTCACTGTTAGTGACTAGGAGAATGGAGAGACCTGGGCCTGGGCTAATTTTGGGAGATTTCGTGATAATGAACATTGTAACCTGGCCTCCAGGGACAAAATCAAAGGCTAAATCAGAGAGTTAGACTAAAGATTCAAAATTCAACTCAAATTCAAAATTTCTGTAATATTAAAAGAGATATAGCATGGTTCAATAGAGCAAGATTTTGTAGTCCAACGGAGCAAGATTCCTATCAGTTTGAGTACTTATTAGCTCCGTAAATATAATCAGATACTTTGATACTTGAACTTCAAGTTCTTCATTTGCAACTTGAAATTATAGATGCCTAATTAGTAATATCATTTTAAGATTTTAAATATTCTATGTAAAGCAACCAGTAAAGTCAGTGAAGTGATGGCACTTAGTTGTTCAAACAGTGGTCAATGCGATTACTGATTCTTTTGAGCCAGTAACAGGAATCCGGTAAAATTGTATGAGGAGAGAAAACCGCGCTTGACCTAAAGTTTAAGGCTTCAGTATTAACAAATTTTAGGAAGGAAAAGGTTCATAAGTCTGAGGAGGGAGAAAACTCTCAACAGAGAGCCGCCGCCAGTTAGTAGCCTACAGCCGATCAGTTCCTTACACATAACCCACTCGATCGTTTCCACTTCTGTTCCTTTCGGCAGGTGAACGTCCCTTCCACTGTAACCAGTGTGGAGCCTCTTTTACTCAGAAGGGCAACCTTTTGAGACACATAAAGTTACACTCTGGAGAGAAGCCGTTCAAATGTCCTTTTTGTAGCTATGCCTGTAGAAGAAGGGACGCCCTCACAGGACACCTCAGGACCCACTCTGGTAAGTGTCACTGACTCTTTGAGAAGAAAGCTAAAATATAAGAATTCAGGAAAGTGTTATAGAGTAATACAGAATAACTTACAGCTTTGGTCCATAGCTAGGAATGAGCTCAACAATATTTTTATTTGTGTACATTGAATAACTGATAAATCTTGCAAGATGCATATGGCCCTTCCTTTTTTTAGACTTACAGACTTGGCAGAAAGTAGCACCATCATCTGAAGAATCTTTTATTTCAAGCTATTGAAGTAAGGAAACAACTGTTCTATAGATTCTGTATGATTTTTAATTTTATAATTATTAATTCAATAATTATGGTTAATCCTGGCTAATGGAAAATCGAGTAAAATATCATAGTTACATGCTGATATTACCATAGAGGAGATGAAGGCTGTGGTACTTTTCAACTGATAGAGTGTCCAGCCTGGGACCTCAGTGGGAAAACAAACATTGCTATTTTTAAGCTTGAAAATATTATGCTTATTAGAAAATTGGCTGTTAGAGTATTTTATATTTTCTTTAAACATGCCTTGTTTCTTTAACTCTCAAAATGTGGTCATTGGATTTTCTCTGAAACTTTTCTTTGCTTCATAAATCATCATTAAAAAATCTAGAGTAAGTGTGATATTTTTAAAATGCTAGGATATAGTACATAAAAGACAAAGAATGATTAGAAATCTGAATGAATCTCATTTGGCTTTTAGCATGAATTGCCATAACTAAGAAGTTAAAGGTGGAAAATTAATATAGAATACTCTCAAGCCAGTTTTATATCCTCCTTCTGTCCATAATGACATATTAAATTTTAATTTTATATGAAGATTTGATGGAAGTTATATTTTCATCTACATTGACAAATTGTATTAGAGAGTGCTATGGATTGTGAGGTAATGCTTGTATTATCTTTTTTTACATTTTCCGTATTAATCCTTAAGGCTTTACTTGGTTTTTAATATGAATGTGAAATGTGTAAAACTATTTTAGGCATTAACTTGTAAATTTGGAGCAGTTATAGAAAAATAAAATGAATGCAAACATAAAAACAAAATATTTTAAGTATATATATATACTTTCCTCCTTGATTCAAAGTAATTCCCTTATTTCCAACTATGACATTTTATATTTTATTTTTAACTTATGCTGTGAAAATTACATCTTTATTATAAAAATGATTCTTTGTTGAAGGATATTTTTAAGACATGACAGTTAATTCCTTCACCTAGCCATGTACTCTGGCTTATTAAAGTGTTATTGAATTGACCACAGATGGTGTAAAACATCAATTTTCATGAACATTATCTATTACATGAAGTTGAGGAGAAAATAGAACTTTAAACATCTATTTCATTTTTTGCAAAATTGTGTTGCTTTTAATATCATGATATAATGTACACATGCTACTTTACCTGGGATTGCTATATTGCCCTTAGAAGGTTCAATGCCTTCAAAGCTCAACCTCTGGAAGGCTTTCAATACCTCAATTTGTGTTGTCTTGATTTCCTTTTTGTTCTTTTAACACATCCATTCCTGTGGGTGGTGTCTAAGAAGACACCTTGGTTTTTGTTTCTTCTGAACTCTGGGCAGTTGCAATCAGCATCTGTTTAGCAAATTAGTCATGAGTCATCTAGAGGTTCCTGGTTGGCGGCTAATGAAGTGAGGAATGAGAAAGATGTTACTCCAAACGCAGGCCACTCCCATTGGCTTTCACCAGCCCAGACACTTGACAACACATGGTTCTGTGTAATTATGAAGTTTGTGTGTATAAAGTGAAGCTGTTTCTGTGAAATTGCATATTTCCTAAATAAATCACTGCTACTTTGAGGTTCAAAAAAAATAAAGACATGGACCCTGTAACTGCAATCATGCTATTATTTTGCAATTTGGTATACAAAGTCATGATTATGTAGATATGTAAATAGATAGTATACTCAAACTGGCTAATTAAAGAGAGTTTAACAGAGCAGTGAGGGAGGAAGGTGTCATCCACCTACCGCATCAACAGGTGATATGAATTCAGTTACATTTCTAACTGTAATCTAAAATATTTGCCATTGCCAATGCTTTTTGTAATAGATACAACATAAAATATAGCTGCTAAATTCCGTGCCCTCTAATTGTTCAGAAAGCCCAAATTGGTTATTACAGCTTTCTTCTGCTACCCATTCCATCTTTCCCTTACTCTTACCCTTGTTTTTAGCACCTGAGCTGAACAGGATTCTTTATCTGATGAGTGACCCAAACATGAATTTCTACAAATTCTGAGGACTTGACTATCCTGTTTTCTTTGCATTACTGCAATTTTTCAGTAACTGGGATTATTGGGAACATTTTTTAAAAGAGATACCTGAATTCCAAACATAACAACCCAGAATCACCTTGGTAGTCTAGAAAAGTTATCAACCAATAGCCCACTTCTCTCCCTCTTAGTTTAGCAGCTTGAGATGCCTCCAATAGTCAGGGGGTAGTCCAATATGACAGTTCCAGACCTCTGATCCCTGGTGGAAAGACTCTTCCCTTGGGTATGTAGCACATACATCAGAGCAGCATACAAACCATGCCTCCTTCATGGTGAAACTTAAAAAGTGCACCCATTTTCATTTATCATAGAGGACCTAATTCAACATGTCTAGACCACCAAATCCATAACATTACACTAATACTGTGCTTCTCCGAACTTTCTGTGGCAGTTATCTCCTGTCCTCTGGCATATATCTTACGGAGGCATCTCAGGTATTTACTACTTCTGCTCACCATGTCCAGTCAGTACCGTGAATGTAACGTTCCAACTTGATGTTCTGTGGGCTGTCAAGATGAACTAGACTTCTTTGGACTGTATTTATAACAGAAGAGTTGACCTAGCCTTAAGCTAAGATAATAAAAGTATGCTCTCCCTGCAATGTGAAGGCAAAGTGCTTCAGATTATCTGTTGATAAGGAATTATTTTCCAAAGAAATTGTTAAGTCAGTAGCTCCGTACCTGGTATCAGGGGCTATGTTATATGTTAATATGTGCCAGCAACGGTATTACAGCTAGAACTGCATCTGTAGTTGGCATTTTGATGTGATTAAAACTGCATGCATCCACAGAACCATCTAGCTTGCATTAACCTCATCAACAGTATAAATGGGTATGTAGTAGGAATCCCCATGCCAACATCTTTCAGTTTTAGTTTACTATCTTTAAGTCTAGGGCTGTGATCTCCATTCTGGTAGCAACTAGCCTCCTGTGGCTAGTGCTATGTGTTGAAATGATATTTTCTTATTAAATGAAATCCATTCAAATTAATTCCATCTTTTTAAAATGTGGCCACTAGAAAATGTAGAATTATGTGTCTGATTCATACTTGCATTGGACAAGCACAGTTCTTGGCTTTCCATGATAGCTGTAGGTCAGGGAACCAACATAAGGATTCTATCCATTACTAAGTTTATTTATTCCCAAAATATGTAAGATGGACTTGGATAAAGCCTACATATATACCTTGACCTCCATATACCCCCACTTTGAACTGGTCAGCTACAATGGCATTTTGAGTTCCAGAGATTAATGTCAATTTAGAGCTAATCTAATAGACTAATAATCTGCAGTAGGATTTGGTATTTCCATTTCCTACCATAGAGCCTCTGCCACTCTGAGATCACATATACATTTAAATCAAGGAGGCCAGATCTGTTTGCAACATCTATCATTGTTCTCTCCAGCCTAGAGAAGACAATTACCATAAAGCTTTTCAAGCATGTGGCTTCTTTCATGACCAGTGTAATTCTTTGGTGAAGGGAGTTTCCCGCAGGCCCTTCTAGAAGTATGTAAGTGGCAGGCTGAACCAGATGATTCATAATAGATCCTTTCCATTATTCTTACTTATTTGAGCTTTTGTTGTTCTTCCTCTTTGCTATGCCAGGAAACCCTGGCATTTCAACTTTTTACTAATAAGCCATCATTGAATCAAGGATTCAATTAGTCAGTCACTCCCACTTGTTCAAGGCAATATATTAAATCCCAAATCCAGGTGAATGCATATATATTGATAAAAATTTGGCCCAATCTAGTATTTTGTTTCATCTTCTTGTTGTAAAACACTTAAAATCTATTCATTCCCTTACGTGCTAACTGGATTCCTGCTGGTACAACTGGCCGTTTTGTGATTCTTTCAGTGTATAGGGCTGTCACCTCTTGGATCAGGCCTTGATTTTGATTATACGAGAATCTAACTTATTATGAGCCTAGGGGCAATGAGAGTTAATAGGAATGAGTCCTGAAAAGAATTGCCATTTTCTGATTGGGTTCTTGCCTCAGCTGAAACAATCGAAAGTCTTCTTACTTTATGGGAATGCTGATTTATGGAACATTAGTTTCCTTAGATGGAAAGGTGAGGAGTGAGGACTGTGTCTTCCAGCAAGGGCGGTTTGGAAGTGTTTGCAGGTTCAACATTCTGCGCCTTGGTATTTGATCAGATAGTACCATTCCATGTTTCACTAATCCATTGCCATGACCAGGTTGTATTGGTACTGCCCATTTTATTTAGTGTGGCAACTCTATAACCCTTCAAATCAGATTCTGGAGTTGGTTTTCAGCCTTATTTGCCCTGAGGCTTAGGTAAATAAGGACTCTTTTAAAGCTGACAGAGGACTTTGACATTCCAACTTCTGCTCTGACGTGAAGTGAGCATTCAAGACCTTCAAACTGTCCTTCCTCTTTTATGTAATCCTTAGGGTCATCAGAGTTAGCCATATCACACTACAGTCTTCACTCTACACACCACCACTGTCACTTCAGCAAGGCTACATGCTACCAGCAGTGATAATTTGGGTAATCATATTGCCAGCAAATACCTAGAATTAGTAGTATTCCATTAACTCCCCAGTAAAAAAGCTACCTTGTTGTCTTCATATTGAGCAACTCAGTGCCAGAATGCCATTTTGACTCTCTGAGCCACTCCTGCTACCAGTAACTATCAACCAAGGCCCTGACAGGAGCAATGAGACACTCAATGGGAAAAA